CCTATCCTGGCGTGTGTCGGCGGCCTATCCTGGCGTGTGTCGGCGGCCTATCCTGGCGTGTGTCGCCGGCCTATCCTGGCGTGTGTCGGCGGCCTATCCTGGCGTGTGTCGGCGGCCTATCCTGGCGTGTGTCGGCGGCCTATCCTGGCGTGTGTCGGCGGCCTATCTTGGCGTGTGTCGGCGGCCTATCTTGGCGTGTATCGGCGGCCAACCCGGTGACAAAGCCGTGGTGGTGCAGCAGCAGACGGCCGCAGTAGGTGATGGCAGGGAGGCGCGCCCTGGCCAAGGTGTAAATATTTTGAAATAAGTGATGTATGAGGAGTGGAAACGTTGGTGGTGGTGCAGCTGCTTATCCGCGCCTCACAACGTGCACCTCACACACTTACCTCATCCTCTCCTGCAAGCCCTTCACCCTCACTTCCGGCGTGTGTGTGTATCCTGCACTGGTAGAGGGATATATTATAAATCACTGTCAATCACAGAGAGGCAGCAGGAGCCGCGCCACAGTACACACCGCCCGACACTCCACACACAACTGCCGCTCATTGGTCCACACCCAGACAACAACATCGCACTCCTAGCTACCAACCACTTTCTTTATTATCATTTCTTTTTACACATATACGTTATGGCGTATTGTGTTTATCGTCTTAACTATTACGATATGTACATATCTACATCATATATATATATTTTAAGGGTTATATTGCTGCGTATGTCAACAAGATATGTTTAAACCAAAAGTGGCAGCTGAGCAGCGTGGAGCGTGACGTCATAGATGATGTCATCCTCGCCACTCATGATCCAGACAATGACGTCGAAGATCAATAAAATCTTCAATACATGCAGCGGAAACACGCCCAGTAAACCGATACACTTCTCTTTGGTGCAATAGCAACTGACCAAAGAAGTTGAACATCAAAATATACATCAGTATATCCGTGCCTCAAATTTTCATTAATAAACAACAAAAGTTGTGGGTTGCACTATATCAACAACCTTCCCGTAGTGTCCATCTACTGCCTCCCCTCCCCGCCTTCCCTTGAGATTCTTGGTATCCAGCGAAGACGAGGCAGCATAAACAGTTATAGAGCGGTCTAGACGCGAGACCGTTGTGGCCGCAACAGCTGGCAGGAGCTGTTGCAACACTTGACAACCATTGTACCATTATATTGTAATGACGAGTCAACATTAAGGAACATGTATATAGTCGGGTACATCCCAGCCCTCGATCGTCGTCGACCCTCAACCAACAACATGTATGTAGTGGTGACGTGTGACGGAGATGGTGAGGCTGTGTTGACATTGCTGGTGATGGTGGTGATGAGGGAGGTGGTGGCGCTGCTGGAGGGGAGGCGGGTATTTCTGGTGATAATGATGCTGGTGGTGGTTTTGATGGTAATGTTGGTGCTGGTATTCGCTGCATACCAGTGGCTTTGTTTTTGGTTTTCATGGTGGTGGTACCCTTATATATTGTATGCTCCTACCACCCCCTTATATATTTGTAATTCCTTTGTTTAATTTATAACTTCATTACACAAATAAACATGTTACATAACATGGGTTATAATGGTGGTTTCTAACAAAGTACAAAGTTAATTGTGGTTTCTAACAAGGTAGAAAGTTAGTTGTCACAGGCTGTAGAGTTCCTCCAGTTCCTCGGATAATGGGCAGGGACCAAGAATGCAATGTGCATTCCCCTCTGTATCGCCACGCTGGGAAAGGAAGCTGGTAGCTCTAGGGTCTCTTGTTGTTCGGATGAGCCTGGAACCAAGATCCTTCATAAAACTAGTGGCACTTTTATCGTAGGCACCAAGTATCTCTGAAGGAATAAGGACAAAATTTGTAATGGTAATCCAGCTATTTGTAGCTACGAGACTTGACTTATTCCTTGTGGGTGGCAGCACCACCTGTATGTGCAACACTGAAGTCAACATGCATGTTAGCCATGGTTGATACACATGTGTAGTCCCACACCAAATGTTTATCGTTCTTCCAAGGGTGCACTGTGATCCCATCTGGGCAGACAGCAGGACTGGCAGAGTTACGGGACATTAGGTAATGGATCTCTTTCTCTCTTTCTCTCTCTCTACAGGAACATCTGGCTGTGGTAAGCCTTCTCTTAATGATCTCGTTAACATCACTGTGCTTTGAGTGCCAGCCCTTTGTGCATTGGCAGGAGCACGTTACTCGTTGTGGACTGGGCATCAAGGAGAGCCACTGCAATTCAGAAGGCCTGCGATGTGGGACGCATGCCGGGTGCTGACATGGGGAGGGGGGGGGGAGGAGAGGTAATAAGAAGTCACCCGCATTGAGAGCTGCCACAGCTGTGAGGCAAGCATGATGTTGTTGAAGCATATGGGCACACTGCAGCTGCTTGATCTGTGATGCAGCTCTACCAGTTGGACTGCTTGTGTGCTTCAGATGATGGTGGTCGGAGTGCTGGGGCTGCAAGAGGAGTCAGTAATGATCAAAAGAAGGCACCAAGCCGGGGAGACTATGTAACGGGCTGCTAGATAAACCCACTCAGTGGTATACCTTGAGTTGGTTTGGTTTCGGGGCTTAGCGTCCCCGTGGCCCGGTCATCGCCCAGGCCTCCTCGATGCTAGAGTGGTCAACCAGGCTGTTGGACGCGGCTGCGAGCAGCCTGACGTACGAGTCACAGCCTGGTTGATCAGGTATTCTTTGGAGGTGTTTTTCGAGTTCTCTCTTGAACACTGTGAGGGGGTCGGCCAGTTATGTCCCTTATGTGTAGCGGAAGCGTGTTGAACAGTCTCGGGCCTCTGATGTTGATAGTTCTCTCTCAGAGTACCTGTTGCACCTCTGCTTTTCAATGGGGGTATTCTGCACATCCTGCCATGCCTTCTGGTCTCATGTGGGGTGTTATTTCTGTGTGCAGGTTTGGGACCAGCCCCTCTACTATTTTTCATGTGTAAATTATTATGTATCTCTCCCGCCTGCGCTCAAGGGAATACAGATTTAGGCATTTTAGTCTGTCTCAATAGTTTAGATGTTTTACTGAGTGGATTCTACCAGTAAAGGATCTCTGTCTTCTAGCAGTAAAGGTGGTGCAATGTATAAAACTTGGATCGTGTAACTCTGCCAATTAGCCTAGGTAATTTCACCAGGTTGTCAGATGGTGCAGAGGAGGACAGGAAGGCTGAGGCAGCTGTCTGGGTTACGATGCGAACGCCGAGGCCTACCCAAGTCTGACGGGAAGGAGGCTTATTTCTACTGTGGGTCATTGACAGAAAGATTAATGGCCTTTTCTAACAAGAATTTCAGTAAGCAGTATTCACGTAGCTTGTGGTCACTGTAAGATGACAAACATGTAGAAAGTAGGTTAACCTTGGGAAGGACAGGCAACAGGTGAGGAGGTAGAGTGTGTGGCAAGCATCAGTGTCATCAGGCCTCTCATCCATCCTCTTCAGATGAGTGATCTTCTCCCCAAGGACTTCCTCGATGGTCTTTGACTCCAAGAGCAGCTGCTAGGAACGTGCTGTCTTAAGTCTTAAGGATAGTCATAAGGATATCAGACAAAATATTCCTTATGTGATATGTAATGCGCTGGTTAGAAGATAATATTTTACACTTTACACTTAGAAGAGTACAGGGAAGATATATATATATATATATATATATATATATATATATATATATATATATATGTACACATAGCCTCGGAGAAGAAAATAAAAAGTATTCAGAGGAGACCTTGTGGTATGTACATATGTACATATGTATATATATATATGCGAACAAGCCTGAATGGTCCCCAGGACAATATGCAACTGAAAACTCACACCCCAGAGTTTTCAGTTGCATATTGTCCTGGGGACCATTCAGGCTTGTTCGCATTTGTGTTCCTCACGTGTGCCCCAAAGAATGAGGTGATTTGGTAAAATGCCATGCCCAAGATTACTATCCGAGTGCCGGCGGTGGGGTGGTTCAAATAGCTTAGGCTATCACCTCATTATTGTCCGGTCGTGATGGTCAAGTGGATTAAGGCGTCTTGTACATACCAGTTGCGTTGCTCCTGGGAGTATGGGTTCGAGTCACTTCTGGGGTGTGAGTTTTCAGTTATATATATATATATATATATATATATATATATATATATATATATATATATATATATATATATATATATATATATACACATATATATGTATGTATGAGGTGGCCAGATGATTCTAGGAAGCCAAGTGATAGAGCAGAACTATGGCTTCTTTCCGTCGTGGTGCTGGTGTGTGTGAGTACTCACCTATTTGTACCAGCAGGACCCAGCTCTAGCTCTTGGACCCGCTTTTCTAGTCGTTGGTTGTCTAAAGAATGACTCTTGACCTATTTCTCTATCATACCTGCTTTTAAAGTTATGAATGGAGTTTGCCTCTACAACCTGATTTTTTAGGTCATTCGATTTACTCACTTTCAATTTTCTTTGCTTCAAAGAAAGGAAAACTTTCTAACATCTCTATGACACATCGGAGTCTCAAGCTTCCATCATTGCCCCCCTTTGTTATGTTGATATTCACTGTAAACAATTCCTCTGTTTTCACTCTGTCAATCCATCTAAGTATTTTATACGTCTGTATCATGTCTTCCCTCTCCCTCCTCCTTTCTATCCTCATCCCTCGCAGCTCTGGGACGAGTCTCGTTGCAAACTTCTGCACCTTTTCGAGCTTTCTTTCCTGTGTGTGTGTGTGTGTGTATGTGTGTGTGGGTGTGTGTGTGTGTATGTATGTGTGTGTGTGTGTGTGTGTGTATGTGTGTACTTTTTTTTTTTCCACACCACACACACACACACAACCCCAGGAAGCAGCCCGTGACAGCTGACTAACTGTACCTATTTACTGCTAGGTGTATGTGTGTGTGTGTGTGTGTGTGTGTGTGTGTGTGTGTGTGTGTGTGTGTGTGTGTGTGTGTGTGTGAACACTTGAAGGTGTTCTCTCCAGCAGCAGCACCAGCCCAGGGTTGCCACCACCGCCACCCCCCTCTCACACCTCACACAGAGAACACACCACCACCACCACCACCATCCTCCTGTGGTCCTTCTGGCTGGCTGGCTGGCTGGAGCCCGGAGGAGGACCCGAGGAGTCGCTGGAGCGGGCGACGCCTGCACGCTCCTCCTGTCACCCTCAGTTACCAGGTATTGTCTGGAAAAGTATTAGCTTAGGGAAAATAATATGTATATCACTGAGTGAACGAAGCGTACAGTTAACCTCTGCACAACAACTGGTTCATAATCAGAAAAGCCTCGATCTCAAAGGTTTACAAGGAATGAACAATGTTTGGGTTTCGAGAGCTGGTTGAGTCTATGGAGGGCGAAGCTGCTGGAAGCGGAAGCCAATTTACGCAAGAAAGAAAACTGTTAGACATAACAAAAGTGGAAAGCGCTTCTCTAAAGAAAGATATAAATATGAATTCTAAATGTGATAACAACGTAATCCAAAAAGCTTTCGGAACTTTAAATTGTGAAACTTGGCAGGAGGGAAGAGTGGCCGACGGTGACAAATACGAAGACGTGAGTGAACTGAGACGCGCGCAAGAGAGACCAGATATTTCAGTGAGGAGCCGGAGGCGCCCTTGTGGGAAGATGGAGCATCCGTCGGGTGTCCCGGGGGGCCACGCTACACACACCCTCCCGACAGTGACACGTAAACAACTTACAGCAGGAGACACAACAACAGAGAAAGGGAAGTGGGAACAAAACATTACAGGTCCAACTCAGACCAAAATACAGCATCAACGTACGCCTACAGTAGGCCAAATGTTTCTCCGGAATACTGGAAGTATTGAGATCGAGAAGAAAAGTGTACATCACGAGTTTGAGAACCAGAAGTGTATGTCTGGGGTCAGTGAGTGTCAATGTCACCAACGGGTTCTTTCTGGTGAAACTGAGTCTCAAAACGCACATCAGACAATCGAGTTTCGACGCCAAACTCAACAGTTTCTCCACGACGAATGTAATTTTCAAATCGGACACAAACAGTTTCTAACTGGCAAGAGCAAGTTTCAATACGAACACGAGGAACTTTCGTCGAACAATTGTGGTAATGACCTCAAGCACTACGAGGTCTCTGGTAGCTGTCAGGAGAGAGTTGTGGAACATGCACCCTCTTCCCTCGTCATTAAACAAGAACAAATGATAGACGATTCCTTTGAACATTTCGGAAACGAGTTGAAGGATTTGAACAGCAGCGGAGATTCGCTGGCCACGGATGCCATGGACAGTACAGTCTCAGTGTGTGGAGGTTCCTGTCATCTCTACTGCCAACATTACCAGCCAGAAACTGCCTCTCACCCGACCACCGAACACCGCTCACCTCTGGACATCCAGTCTCGTGCTTCACACCTCTCTGGAAGGTCCTCATCACACACCAACACGGGATTCTACAAGATCGGTTACAGAACTAAACCCTCCATGAATAGTCAACCAATCGACCAAGCTGCCGTTCCTAATTCAAGTTGTTCAAAGACTGATAAAAAATACAAATATGGCATGAACAAATTCGTCTCCGATGATTGGCTAAGAGTACATAATGGTGAGGATGGAGGTCACTGTCGTGCGGATTATTCCAGAGGCGGCAGTGGAGAGAGACGAGGGTTGATGGTACCTGCAGCAGCTGACAATAATAATGTGTTGAGCGTGGATATGAACGAACTCCAAAGAACACATGGAGGCCATGCCAGAAAACTGATGTCTGTGGCCATGACTCCACCTGTCCTAGAGCAGCAACACGCCTGGCGTCCCAAGGCTTGGCACCACCACACCAATCACAGACTCCGTGGCATCAGCGACCTCGAGGCAAGTGCCAGCCAGGAAGACAATGCCTGGGAGAGCCACACACGTAGAAAAAGCCAGGTGACGACGGAGGACGACGGCAGAGGGGGTAGGAGAGCTGCTTGCCGCCCAGGAGTGCCGACTCAACTCTCCTCACATCACCGTCAGTCACAACCACCATTACACATTTTCAGGTAAGTCAACTACCACCACTAACTCTTCTAGGTAAATATTATACTGGTGCACTAGACATTATATTTCATACATACAATTAATGTTTATTGTCTATATGAAGCATTACAATAAATTAAGGTGCAAAATGCGTGAAGTATTTGAGAATTTCCTTCCATTCACCTGGGCTCTGGGAGGCTCGAACCGCGGACCCCACGCGGCTGAGGCCCAAGCTTTATCGACTATTTTGAGAATTTCGTGTTACATCTATACTATATAGTAAGAGAATGTGTGTGTGTGTCTGTCTAAAGCTGGAGGCCAGATGCTTAGGGCGAGCCTCACTCAAATTTGTAGGGAAATGGTGTAGATCACAGGGACGGACACAGGATGATCGGGGTAGGTCTAAGTTAAATGCTTCAAGAAATATAGCATGTAGCCCAACACCCCTGAGCGATTATCATGGTCTTAAATGAATCTGGGATGAACTCTGGAATGTGATGTCCGTAGAGTGTGAACCGCACCCAGCCGACCAACACCTACTCAACAATACCCGATACACAGTTGTGTCAAAACCCAACATGACACATAGACCAACAGCTGTGTCAAGTGGCCGTACAGTGTTGACTCAGAGTCCTGCTAAACCAATTATATTAACTTGATTGAAGTTGTTGTGGTGATTATGGAGATCTATTTAGCTTTATATGAAGAGTTACGGATACATTAGAGTGGCTACATATATCTGACTCGCTATTGTGTGTTGGGCAGGTGTGCCAGGTGTGAGGCGAGTCTCACTCTTGTTGCATGTTGGGCAGGTGTGCCAGGTGTGAGGCGAGTCTCACTCTTGTTGCGTGTTGGGCAGGTGTGCCAGGTGTGAGGCGAGTCTCACTCTTGTTGCGTGTTGGGCAGGTGTGCCAGGTGTGAGGCGAGTCTCACTGTTGTTGCGTGTTGGGCAGGTGTGCCAGGTGTGAGGCGAGTCTCACTGTTGTTGCGTGTTGGGCAGGTGTGCCAGGTGTGAGGCGAGTCTCGCTGTTGTTGCGTGTTGGGCAGGTGTGCCAGGTGTGAGGCGAGTCTCACTGTTGTTGTGTGTTGGGCAGGTGTGCCAGGTGTGAGGCGAGTCTCACTCTTGTTGTGTGTTGGGCAGGTGTGCCAGGTGTGAGGCAGGAACCAGTAACCTGGCGTCGCGGGAGCGGCACCGTCGCCTGCACGCCTCCACCAGGCCCTTCCCGTGCCCTCACTGCTCCTCCAGGTTCAACCAGCTCGTCCACCTCCAGATCCACCAGAGGACCCACACAGGAGAGAAGCCCTTTCGCTGTCACACTTGCGGCTGCAGCTTTAGTAGGAAAGACAGGTTAAAGTATGTCTAATACGTTTAGTAGCCTTTCGTATTTTTGAGACTCAAATGAGCAAAGTTAAACTCTGAGACACTTATAATAATTTCCAACAAATGGACAGTTTAAAGCAGTGCATTAGCACAACTTACATGTAAATGAGGATTCGGTGCAACCTCGATTTGACAAACTAGATAGAACTAATTCTTGATTCGTTGCAATTGTAATATTTCAGGTAGCATTTGTATGATGAATTTATCATAAAACACAATAAAAATGAATTGAGAAGCCTGTTTATCTCAATGTTTCTTGCATCCACGAAATTAAAAGAAAACAAATGATTCGAACCATATATTAAAGGAGTTACCATTCATACCCTAGTTCCTCCCACACACTATATGAGCTAATTTCACTGACATATTTTCATTTGCATCTATAATATGGACAACTGCCAAGGAAAACCTGTCTGTAAACAAGTCTAATCACATCTAGTATATTTTCTCACACACCCGTCTCGAAACCTCATTTTCAAAGGTAATTGGACCCCTACGTAAGTGAACGAAACCTTGCAAACTCAGTGATAATGTAACATCATCATTGTAACGTATCGGAAATTGGAGAAAGAAAGGAAGAAAACTCATAATGAAGGAAGGTGAGGTGGGAGGGAGGAGTGAGGAAGAGTGGTCGGAAGAAAGGGAAAGTTTAGAGAAAATGGGAAGGGAAGGAAAGAGGGAGATAGAAAAGGTAAAAATAAAATAAAAGAAAAAGTGCTGCAAATTTTGAATTTTGCGATAATTTTTGCCAAATTGTTAATTTCTCTGTAATTTCTTCTTAAGGCGGGTGGCCTTCATCCCTCCAGTGTTTCTTTTCTTCAGTTGTTTCTGGTATCTAGCTCCTGGGCCCCTGCAGTCAAACTCTTGGATTTTATATTCTACACGCAAGCCAGGATCACGGGATGTTGTATTTATACTATTTCTGACATTTTAAAGCATCGAGTACAGTATAGTACAGTATAATATTGTTTTGTCGTTTGTTAATTTGTTATTTAGAGATCTAAACGATTATAATAATCATTAATACCATTCTAATAATTATTATTAAATTTTTTAATTGTCTCCATTACCATTATTTTGTCAATTTTAGTACCATCATTGTGAAAGAAACATGTGGTAGTGTGTAAGCAATGTTGGTACACTTGCAGGTATCACGAGAGGACACACACAGGGGCCACACCCTACCCGTGCCCTCACTGTGACACCACCTTCAGCAGTGTTGGTGCCCTCAAGACCCACCTCCTCACCCATGCTGGCCAAGTTCCCTACACCTGCCGCGTCTGCCGCACCACCTTTGTACACCTCTCTACCTTCATTTCCCATTGGAGGATGCATAGCTAGTGAAGAAATGTACAACTTTAATGTAAAGGTTTATGTCTTAATTTTGCTTGAATGCTTATGGACTAAGGTGTATCAAAATGCTCCACATATTTCTTAAAAATTGCAACTGGGGAAATTGGTGTAAGCTCCTCTTGTCTATCTCAAAATGGTTTACTGCATAGAATGTTCAAGTAGTCCAAGCCTTGGGCCCAAATTTCTTTCATCCATCAGAATGGCTAATAAATTTTAAGATGTATTTCCTTTCATCGTGCATTAAACCATTTTGAGATAAGCAAAACAGGAGCTGACATCATTTTCTCCAATTACAACTTTGAAGAAATATGAGGAGCATTATAAACTATTAGGGCTATAATTTAAAAAATTATGTAGAGTATATGATATGGTTCCAATACAAACACTTCCCAAATTTGACTAAAAAAATAAAAACAAATTCTACAATAACTAAATATATTTATCTTCACTGTAAAAGTTTCTTGGAAATCATTTGTACCTGACACCAATACAACCTCAATTACTACATGGTACCTCTGGATAATTTAATCTTAAGATTTTTAATTTAAGGTTTTTGACAATTTTGGCTTGATGTATAATGAGGGTGGAGAACTGAAAATTTGTCCAAATTCAAGAATGCAGAAAATGGGGATCTGGATAATGAAGGTTATGCAGTTTTGTACTAGGGATATATATCTCGTGATATCAGAGTAAAAGTATAGAAATTTGGATGAAGCTATTCTAATTCAATTTCAGGACATCACTAAAGTTCCTATGTCAAGCAAACGCCATAATCCTCGTACAAGGTCTCGAGTCCAATAAAGGGTTCACGCCCAAACAAACTACTACAATACACAAAGAAATCACAATAGCATGAGTCATCAAATGAACAAATCATTTGTGGATTTGTAAACTACTACAATTTTTTTGGGTGGTGAACTTTTCTTTCCTTTTTAAGTATTTTAACGTAATGATTGTGGTGCTGCATAACAAGTTAAATCTTCATTTTTTGCATGTTATCTTATATGAAATCATTACTAGAGGGAAATTAATTAAATTTCAATCATATGTTCTTTGTAACATGACATCAGCTTGGTGTACAAATAAAACCTAATAAACAGTTCAAAGGTAAACAAGGGTGAGATGAAGTGGTCCCCCCGTAGTGCCACACTGCATGCTATCATTTTTTCAGATTTTGGTTACAAATGTAATATCTCTAAATTTATGTGGACTTTAGGCATCGAACTTGAAGTTACCAGTGTTTGATTGTACCAAAGAGAATACACATTACTGGCAACAGAAGACCAGGTGGCTATATAACAAATGCTTGACAGTGTGGTCACAGTTGTTAAATACTGTACACAGTTTAAATCACAACACAATTTTTTTTCAAGATTAGTAATAAAAGCATAATAAAACTAAACAAATATAATGTATTACCCTATTTTCATTAGAAGGCAAATATACTTAAAAAGATAGCTAACAGGGAAAGCTAAAATTCAAATAGGAAAAGGTAAGTGTATTTATACATCAGAGAAATTGTGATGTATTATACAATAGCAGTCATGGAGTCAGGCAGCAAGGCTGACACCTCTTGACCTCAGGCTGGAAGACTGACATCTCTGACCTGTGGAGTCGGGCTGGAAGACTGACATCTCCGACCTGTGGAGTCAGGCTGGAAGACTGACATCTCCGACCTGTGGAATCGGGCTGGAAGTCTGACATCTCCGACTTGTGGAGTCAGGCTGGAAGACTGACATCTCCGACCTGTGGAGTCAGGCTGGAAGACTGACATCTCTGCATTATCACCTTCATTCACAGAATACCACTGACACACACCAACCTAGGTTCTGTACTCTATATACTGTGGGACAGAGTAAATGGCAATAATTATATCTTTTGTTTTAATATTCACTGATAATGATGGTACAATACAGTATTTAAAGGTTTAGACAATATACATAATTATACAAATACTGGGTACTCAACTGTACAAAATGCATTTCCTATCAACAGTCCTGTGTAGATTATTTGTGTATAATATTATATATATATATATATATATATATATATATATATATATATATATATATATATATATATATATATATATATATATACTGTACAATTATACATACAGTATATAATATTGTATTACTGTACTAATATACATTTTGGGTATGCCAATCAGTTAATGCCAATAATAATACAGGAATCATTTAATCATTTATAAAAACAAAACAAAAATATGAAGACTTCATTGACCTTTTTTCTTCAGTTCACTGGTGCACCACACTTAGCGGTCCAGTGCCTCTTATCACACACACACACACACCTCCCTAGGCAACAATGTCAACATGCAATGGAATTTTTCAGTCTGAAAAATATGTAATAATTCATGTTCAGAACAGAAATACTAGCCTCTTACATATTTTGAACAAACATGTTTAAGTCTATTTCCATAAAATGCAAAGGATTAAAATAATGTTCTTAATGCTGTGCTCCAGGATGCTGGAAATGGAGAACAGAAAAATTAAAAATTAAGTTTTTAGAGGGCAATGCATAACATTCTTCTCTTATTTAAATTTAAGCAAGGTACAGTACTGTACTTTCAATTCAACGTATCAGCTGTATTTGTGCTGCAAGCAACCTGATACTGAAGTTGACTATCTGCTAAGCTTTTGCTATTAATTCAAGAACTAATTATATGTGGTGATGTACCACTGGTCAACACACTGTACATAGGGTGATGAAATTCCTGATCAACATGCTGTACATATAGTGATGAACCGCTGCTCAATTCACTGTACATATGGTGATAAATTACTGGTCAATATGCTATACATACGGCAATAAACCCCTCGTCAATACTCTATACAGATACCACTGGCCAATGTGCTGTACATGTGGTGATGAACCACTGGTCAGCATATTCTACATACAGGATGAACCAGTGGTCAACGTGCTGTTAATACAGTAATGAACCACTGGTTAAAACACTGTACTGTACATGCAGTGATGAACCACTAGTTAATTTACAGTAGTGCAACATCAAATATTGGAGGGAAGGAACCAAGAGCTTTGCCTGTGTATGGTTGTCAATGTGTCAAGACAGTTGCCAGAAAAGCATAACTACTGATTTTCAGTGCTTAGCTAAATTTGTGTATTCTGGTTCAAAACAGTGGTATTTGTTGGGTGTATACAAATACCAATCCTCGGTACAGAGTATTAACCTAGAACATGTTCTCTTGCTCAAGATCTCACATTACCTAGCTGAAAAATCATGAGACAGGAAGACCTCTTACAAGTCTTAAGATATATGGGCTGAAATTTGATTGTCAAATACTGTAATGTTTTAAAAATATTATTTCTCTTGCTTACATGATTATGCTCAAAATGTAGTACTGTACTTGACTTGCATGTGATACCTGAACCTGTTAGTTAACAAAAATGCTGAGTGCCACTCACTGTTGACTGTCCATTAACTTAGAGCTGAGCTCTAAGCAAAGTATAGACTCCCAAGGACTGACCCAAAACAACTGCAAATATATTTCAGTGTTTACTAAAAAAACAAAGATGTAATGTGGCCGTACCATGAAACTTATTATACAATATTGCTTGTGCAATGTCAGTGACAAAAGTATGTTATAACATAATAATGCATATTCTTAGAATAATCTTAATGTCAACATTTTCAATTAATATAAGATACAGTACTAAATTAAGCCATGAGTAATAAAAGCACACAGTTTATGATAGCACCACTCATTATTATGTTAAAAGTAGCTTGTGAAAGTTATTATTTGTCTATATTTGAATGCATTATTAAAAAATTCAGAGGAGTGTCAATCAGCCAGCCAGGAATTTCATGCACAATGACTTTACTTATACTATGTACAAAATCCCATTTTGAATACAATCAAAATTGTTTGTTATTAAACATTACTTTTAATAATGTGCTCTGATATTGTGTCTACATGTTGCATCTATTCTGATATTTTAAAGTGACTAGTATTTATGCAACCTATAAAAACACTTCACAAACACTGATGTTTGCAGTCTCCGTGGTGTAGTGGTAAGACACTCGCCTGGCGTTCCGCGAGCGCTATGTCATGGGTTCGTATCCTGGCCGGGGAGGATTTACTGGGCGCAATTCCTTAACTGTAGCCTCTGTTTAACGCAACAGTAAAATGTGTACTTGGATGAAAAAACGATTCTTCGCGGCAGGGGATCGTATTCCAGGGACCATAGGATTAAGGACTTGCCCGAAACGCTACGCGTACTAGTGGCTGTACAAGAATGTAACAACTCTTGTATATATCTCAAAAAAAAAAAAAAAAAAAAAAATGTCATTACCAAGTAACAGCTGCCACACATTCAATTGCCTTTTAAACATAATTTTTCACCACCAGCAACTAATGTTACAATATACGTAAATCATTATACCGTTCAGGGCAACCTTGATGGAACAGATTGTGCTCGAATGGTTACCTTGGGGGACAAGAAACAATTGCCTAGCAGCGCATACGTTGCTGGAATGTAATACAGTACAGTAGTGCTTGCTCTACTAAGTTGTCTCGGAGATCTTCCTGGCTTGGTTTATACATTTCCGTACAGTGTTTCATGTGTCTCTCAAATATTTTACTGCTCTCCCCTCCTTTAATAGTTGATAATAAAAACAAAATGATACTTATTCTTGATAAATTATTACAAATTGTGTAATAGAGTTCAACTTTTTTCAATGGTTGCCATAACATTACTGTAACTGAAGGCACCATGGTCATGAGTGGTTTTCCTTAGTGATCATTAGGTGTGACCTCTAAGAATTTTCATCCATCTTGCTTTGGATATTTAATTAACCGAGTTTTAACTGTCTACCAACAGCTGCAGTGAGGCTGAAGCAGACAGAGAAAAAGAGGAATTTAAATATGGAAGGAAAGGGCCAAATTGGTCAAGAAAATTTTGCAAGATTGGGGAGTATTGTGGCTGGCAGAATTGTTAAGTTTCGACACTATCGCACATTTTCTTAATATACAGTGCAGTAAAACAAAGCAGCAGAAATTACAGATTATGGATTTCAAAATCATGAG